GATTTCGCGGAGAGAGATTGAATTGTCTGTTGCATCCTGACGGTTGCTTCTTTATGGTTTGCCAGTGCAATGAAGCATGAAGCAAGCAAGGCTTTCGAGGGACGTACGGAGCGGAGAGCAAACGGCACGACAGGTAGAGGTCCGCAGTTGCTTGATCGTGAGAAACAAGACAATCAAAGTCGGTTTGCATGGAGTCATGACCGGTCACACACGAAGAAAAGGCAGGCAGATGTCGCAGGAAACGAGATCGAGATCGCGAGGGCATCCAAGTTAGTCGACCAGACAGCCAAAAGCTTGTCGTTGAGCAAGAGAGAGGCTGAGCTGAAGGAGGCTGAGGACACAGGAGACGAGATCGAGATCGCGAAGGCACGCAAGTTAGTCAACAAGGCATGGCTAAGCTTGTCGTTGCGCAAGAGAGAGGCTGAGCTGAAGGAGGCTGAGGACACAGGAGACGAGATCGAGATCGCGAAGGCACGAATCAGGGTCAGGGAGGCAGAGCTGGAGGAGGCTGAGGTCACAGGAGACGAGATCGAGATCCTCAAGGCACGAATCAGGGTCAGTGAGGCAGAGCTGGAGGAGGCTGAGGACACAGGAGACGAGATCGAGATCGCGAAGGCACGAATCAGGGTCAGGGAGGCAGAGCTGAAGGAGGCTGAGGACACAGGAGACGAGATCGAGATCGCGAAGGCACGAATCAGGGTCAGGGAGGCAGAGCTGAAGGAGGCTGAGGTCACAGGAGACGAGATCGAGATCCTCAAGACACGAATCAGGGTCAGTAAGGCAGAGCTGAAGAAGGCTGAGGACACAGGAGACAAGATCGAGATCCTCAAGGCACGAATCAGGGTCAGGGAGGCAGAGCTGAAGGAGGCTGAGGTCACAGGAGACGAGATCGAGATCCTCAAGGCACGAATCAGGGGCAGGGAGGCAGAGCTGAAGGAGGCTGAGGACACAGGAGACGAGATCGAGATCGCGAAGGCACGAATCAGGGTCAGGGAGGCAGAGCTGGAGGAGGCTGAGGACACAGGAGACGAGATCGAGATCCTCAAGGCACGAATCAGGGTCAGGGAGGCAGAGCTGAAGGAGGCTGAGGACACAGGAGACGAGATCGAGATCGCAAAGGCCCTTCTTGGCCTCAGGATGGCAGAGCTGGAGGAGGTTTGGCTGAGAGGAGACCAGATAAAGTTCGAAAGGGCAGTCGAGCTAGCCAGGCAGGCAAGCATAAGCTTGTCGTTGCTCAGGAGGACGGCAGAGCTGAAGGCTGAGGACACAGGAGACGAGATCAAGATCGCAGACGCCCTCTTTAGCGTCAGGGTCGCAGAGCTGAAGGAGGCTGAGGTCACAGGAGACGAGATCGAGATCGCGAGGGCATCCAAGTTAGTCAACCAGGCATGGCTAAGCTTGTCGTTGCGCAAGAGAGAGGCTTAGCTTGACAAGGCTCGAAGCACAGGAGACGAGATCGAGATCGCGAGGGCACGCGAGTCAGTCGATGAGGCAGAGCTATGCTACTTTGTGCGCAAGACGGGGGCAGAACCGGAGTAGGCTCAAGGCCCTGGAGACAAGATCAAGCTCAGGCCACCTATACATGAAGCTGACCACGGCTGACTCTCTATATCATGTATTTCCCACTTGACGTTGCATATGTGCAGCACCACCCCGTACACCCACATTCGCCTCCTCCCCTTCCACACTGTGGCTCTTCTATCTCGTGAATCCTCTTCCGCCTCCTCGCTGAGCTGCCTCTGGTAGAGGACCTCCATCTTCTCCCAGTCCGCCTCCCCTCCTCGCATCCTCGTTTTACCCAGGTTTCCATCGCCTCTGCCTGCGTCTCTGCTGAAGCCCTTCACGCTCCCCACGGGGTCTCCGTCCCTCTTTCCTCCCACCAGCCTGCACCACACCCGGTACGACTCCCTCCTTTCACACACCCCGCCGTCGGACCCCCTTATGTCGACTTGCGCTGCTTGTTACAGTGAGACAACTGCTTTCCAACATTTGCCGTGATTGTTTTCCTACTCAAACATTATGCGCATCGACAGCATCGTAGTGGGAGTGAAAGAACGCAACTTGGCACATCCACAGACGTATTGAGCTATTCTTCTCCTCCCATCACTTTGTGTATCCTTTGAGATTTTTGGTGACCATTTTCATACAGTCTTTGGTATCACTTAGATCATGTTGAAGTCCCGTCTCATGCTGTTGGACGAGCCAGCAAGATCAGCGGATACTAGTGACGAAAGATTTTCATGTGAACTCCCTATGAGGTGTTTACTGTCTGCAGCAATCTTGACGACGATGCCAAAGAAACAGCGAGCATTGCTTTCTCTGCTGTTCGTAATCCCTGGAAAGGATCTCGATTGTCATCGGAGCTCCTCGGAAGCTGTGCGTATTTGTTTCTGCCCTTGCGACTGTACATCCTCCCTCTCTTCCTTTGCATCTCCCTTTGGGATGCTCCTCTCTGCTACTTCGATAGCTTTCCTTCCTCCTCCTTCCTCCTCCTCCTCCTCCATCACCACCTCCTTCCTCCTCCTCCTCCTCCTCCCTCCTCCTCTTCCTTCTTCTTCTTCCTCCTGCTCCTGCTCCTGCTCTTCCTCCTTCCTCCTCTTCCTTCCTCCTCCTCCACCACTCCATGCTAATGTAAGCAGCCGTGGCAGCTCCTGATTGCTTTCACCGTCAGCCAAGTCTCCGTTCGTTTGTCTTCTCCTTGATGATAAGCTCCTGCAACTTTCTTCGGGCGGAGACGCTGTCTGTCCCCTATGCCGCGGCAAACTTTCAAAGGGCGACGTGTTCTCGGTAGAGCAAACGCGGGAGGCTCGACAGAACCTTGCTCGCAACGCATCCGGCGAGGACGAGGACGGGGAGAGGCAGACGGATCGGGTGCAAGCGGAAGAGGAGGAGCAGAGGCTGAGCCCCAAGATTCAAGCGCTTCTCGTCGATGAGCAGGAGGCTCAGCAGGCAGACAAGACAGTCAAATCCGTCGTGTCTTCCACCTTCCTCTCATGTTTGGATGAGACAGAAAGTGCCATGATCGCTGCTGCCATCCCCGTCTTTCGCATCGATGGCACGACGAGCATCCTCCAGCCCCGGCGGCTGATACAAGACTTTGACTCTCATCCTCAAGGCGCCCTTCTCCTCCTCAGCTCCAAGGTCAGAATCCTTTCCATCTCCTTCCCCCTGCTCCCCTCCCCTCGCTCTGACCTCCAGCTAGCTGGGAGGCGCGGGGCTCTCGCTCACCATGGCGTCGAGAGCTCACATGATGGAACCATGGTGGAACGCGGCAGTCGACGAGCCGCTCAGCAGGCGATGCATCGGCTCCACCGCATCGGGCAGACGCGCCCAGTCACCATCATCGGCTACAAGTGCCAAGGGACCGTTGAGCAGAAGATCATGGAGATGCAGGAGAAGAAAGATTGGCTGGGGAAGGCGGCGATGATGAGGATGGAAGCCGACGAGCTGCTGGAAATGCGCCTGCGGCTGTTCAGGACGCCCTTCCTGAGATCGAGTCAGGGATGTCGTGGGAGACGACTACTCGGTGGGAGACGACTACTCGGTGGGAGACGACTACTCGGTGGGAGACGACTACTCGGTGGGAGACGACTACTCGGTGGGAGACGAAAACTCGGATCTGATGTGAAATTTGTTCTTATGTTCATTTAACTTTGACCAGCCTCGGAAGTCCCTCGGCGTCGCCCACTTCTCCTCTTTCAAACTTGACTAGTAGTAATGCCAAGTTTGCCGCGGGGCGGCCGCTAGCGGGTTTCATCGTTTTCGTGCTCGCCGTCCTTCTCGCAGGAGCCTTGCGCTACAGATAAACGAGAAGCTTTACAGCAACAAACTTCAAGAAAGTCATATCTAGAGAGTTACAAAGTCAAGAGCTGAAGGTTCACACTCGGCAGTCTGAGGAGCACTGAGGCACCCCTCCCTGCTTACAGCTGCCCCATGATTCTTCACTTTGGTTGTCACTCAGAAACTAAAGTGATCAAGCTCTTCCGATTCGACATCTCTCCCAAGAACCTGGCCGATGCCCTCAAAGCTCACAACAAGGAGGCGAAAGCACAGGTGCAGCTTGTCGTATTGAATTCTTGTTTCTCGCATGAACACGCAAAGAAGCTAGCCGAAGTTGTTGACTTTGCTATTGGGCACGAGGATGAATTGGCGAATGACAGCACCATTGAGTTTTCGGGCATTTTCTATCAAAGTCTCTTCCAAGGATACACATTGTTGAACTCATTCGAGCTCGTGTCGACCTTGCTCGAGAGCTAGGACTCAAGGGTGATGGGGTGGACTTGGAGAGGATAAGGCCGGGGGTATAGGGGTATGGGACCGAATAGGATTACAGCATTTTGTTGGCTCAGTCTTTGACTACTCTATACCTAAACTTGTAAGATAATCTTTGACATCTGAGCCACGAGCTAACGCAGCGCACGACTGGCCGTTCTGGTCCTTCTCTCTCAGCAGCTCCTCCCCGCATCTCTCCGCAAAGTACCTGAGCACCTCCAAGTACCCTCTGTTACTCGCCTCATGTGCACAGGTGTTGCCGTCATTGTCCTTCTCCCTCAGTAGCCCCTCCCCGCATCTCTCCGCCAAGTACCGAAGTACCTCCAAATGCCCTCCCCTACTCGCATAGTGCGCGCACGTCTTGCCGTTATTGGACTTCTCTCTAAGAAGCTCCTCCCCGCATGTATCTGCAAGGTACTGTACAATCTCCAAGAACCCTCCTCTACTCGCCGCATTGACACATGTCCTGCCGTCATCGTCCTTCTCCCTCAGCAGCTCCTCCCCGCATGTCTCTGCCAAGTATCGAAGTCCCTCCAGCTGCCCTCCATTACCCGCATAATGCGCGCATGTCTGGCCAAGATCGTCCTTCTGCCTCAGCACCTCCTCCCCGCATGTCTCTACAGCATACCGCACTACCTCCAAGTGCCCTCTATAACTCGCCAAGTGCGCGCATGTTATTCCAGAGATGTCGGGTTGCTCCATTATGTGTTTCAGCTGCTCTTTCCCGCATTGTTCTTCTACCGTCTTCAGCACCTCCACATGCCCATACTCCCCCGCCCAGTGCACCATCGTCCTCCCTGCCTTGTCCTTCGCTCCTACCTCCGCTCCTGCCTCGATCAGCTCCCTCACGCTCCCCGCCCTCCCCAGCATCCCCGCTACATGCAGCCCTGTCCTTCCGTCCTCCGTCCGCTCGTCCATGTCGCATTCGCCCGCCTTCAGCAGCCCGATCAGCTCCCCTTGTCCTCGTACCACCGCCGTCACTGTCGGCGGCTCCCCGTGCTGGTCCGACCTTGACATCGACAAGCCGTACATCCCGCACAGCCTCTTGCTCTGCTCTCGTCTGCCGTCATCGCCTGCTGGAGTCCGCGAGCTGATGTCGTACATCAGACCTGCCATCGTCCTCCAGTACACTGACTGCATCGGCTCGCGTGCAAGGGCTTCACATTCCCAGTCTCCCTGAGTGTCTTCGATCCAGTGCCTGAGCTTGTTGATCGCCATGTCCTTGACTCGGTTCGACAGCTCGATCGCCTCCTTGTAGTTTGACTCGTCGTTGTACCAGCCCGACTCCCTCGCCCTGCTCGCCTCCACCAGCCCCCAGCACTCCTCCACGATCGATTGTACAAGATTTTGATGAAGGTTATTGATTGAGTCAGCCGGTGCTGTCCTAAGCCGCTCCTGGATCCTCCCCTCCCACCCCCTCACGTCTCGCTCTACCTCCCTGGCCAGGTTCTCCATCAGCCCTACGTACAGCTGCTTCCTCTTCCCCACAAAGTCCTCGATCGTCAAGCTCATCGTGTTCGCGTTGATCTTCAGCTCCAGCACCTTCACCCGCCTCCCCTCTACCTCCCTGTACCGCGGCGTCTTCACCACCTCCAGGTACGACAGCGGTGGATACAGCATCTCCCCCTCCCCCGGATACTGAGACACAAACGTCAAGCTCGCCCCCCGGTCGATCGCCCCGCAGCTGATCTCGAACACGATCGACTCTCCCTCCTCCCCGGCGTACTGCATCGCCGTCCTGACGTCTGTCGTCGTGCTCAGCAGCCCGTACTCGACTCCTCCGGACACCCCGAGCTTGTCCTCGTTGAGGAAGCTCTCCGGCAGCTTCAGGCCTTTCAGTCCAATCCACACTTGCCGATCATCGGGCAGAGGCGTGTGACGAGACAGCTTGACGATGCCGCTGACGATGCAGTGGATGGTCGTCGTGTACTTGTTGGGGAGCTTGTTGGAGTCTCGGAGGAGCTCTTTGGGAGCTCGAAGAACAGAGTTGTACTTGAAGTACATCGGCCCTGTCATAGCAAGCCTCTTGTCAGCCTTCTCACGCTCTCTTGCTCCTCTCTCCTCTCACATGCTCCTTCTCCCTCTCTCGCTATCTCTCTCTTACCTGTGTAGAGCTGCAGCGCGATCAGCTCCGCCTCCTGTAGCCCCGCCTTGATCGCCGTGTCCAGCCCCTTCAGCTCCTCCATCCCTCGGATCACCCGCGTCCCGTCCGACAGCCTCTGCCTCCTCTCCGGGTCTGTGACGTTGAGCCACTCCTCCTTGGCTGTCGTCGTGATGAACGCAGTTGCTCGTCGTGAATGCTTCCTCC